GCCCTATACGGTAGGAATGTTGCAACAATGAGAGCCCGATATCGAACGCGACGAGAGAGAGAGAGAGACTCGCTATTCCCCCCCCCCTCTATACGACAGGAATGTTGCAACAACACGAGCCCGATATCGAACGCGACGAGAGAGAGAGAGAGAGAGAGAGAGAGAGAGAGAGAGAGAGAGAGAGAGAGAGATGAGATAGAGGGGGAGAGAGAGAGAGAGAGAAAGAGAGAGAAAGAGAGAGCGACGAGAGAAAGAAAGAGAGAGAGAGAGAGAGAGAGAGAGAGAGAGAGAGAGAGAGAGAATCGCTATCCTCCCCCTATACGCGATGAGAGAGAATTACCATAACGTGAGCCCAAGATTGAACGCGATAAGACAGAGAGAATCACCATAACGAGCGTCCAAGATCGAACGCGATGAGAAAAGAGAGTCACCAAACGATAACGAGAGTCCGAGATCGAACGCGATGAGAGAGAGAGTATCGCCATAATGCAAGCCCAAGATCGAACGCGATGAGAGAGAGAGGGAATCGCCATAATGAGAGCCTAAGATCAAACATAATGAGAGAGAGAATCATCATAAAGAGAGCTCAAAATGAAATACGATGAGAGAGAGAGAGAATTGTCATAACGAGAGCCCTAGATTGAACACGATGAGAGAGAGAGAGAGAGAATCGCCATAACGAGAGCCCAAGATCGAACGCGATGAGAGAGAATCGCCATAATGAGAGCCCAAGATCGACCACGATGAAAGAGAGATAATCGCCATAACGAGAACCTCCTCTCGCTGCGTAAAATGCTCCTTAAGATCTTTCCACATAGCATATGACTCTTGTTCCTTCTTCACATACTAGCCTCCCTCCATTTCAATTCCTCCTCTCGCTGCGCAAAATGCTCCTTCAATTTTTTTCACTAAGCAAATAACTCTTCTTCCTTCTTCTCTATTGATCTCCAGTTCTTTTCAGCCCTCAACTCTTATTCCTTTTTCACTTGTTCCTTCTTCACATACTAGCCTTCCTCCATTTCAATTCCTCCTCTCGCTGCGCAAAATGCTCCTTCAAATTTTTTCACTAAGCAAATAACTCTTGTTCCTTCTTTTCATATTTTGCCTCCCTTTTATCAAGTCTCTATTGATCTCCAGTTCTTTTCAGCCCTAAAACTCTTATTCCTTTTTCACTTGCTCCACCTCCCTCTTATTCAATTAATTCTCTCGCTGCATAAAATACTCCTCCAATCTTTTCTCACTTAGCCAATAACTTTTGTCCCTTCTTTATATGTTATGTATCCCTTCTATTCAATTCCTCCTCTCGCTGCGCAAAATTATTCTCGTACAATTTTATCTCGCCTAGCTACTTTCGTATTGCTTGTGATGACTGTTTTTGTCTTGCTTTGAGCTCTTCTTCCTTCTCCCATGCTCCGCCTCCCTCCATTTTAATTCCTCAATCGATTTTCGATCCTTTTTTGTAGCCTCCAATAAGTCGGCAGCCACAATTTGACTTTGCATCCTTTTGCATTTTCATTCATCCCGTACAAACATGTGAAGAAAGAACAAAGGTTATTGACCGAGTTGAAGGACCTAGGGGAAGCATTTTGCACAGCGAAAGCGGGAACCAAATAGGAGGAAGGTGGAGCATATGAAGAATGAACAAGGAATATTAACAGAGTTAAAGAACAAGGAGAAACATTTTGCTCAACAAGAGGAGGAACTGAATAAGAGGGAGGCGAAGCATGTGACAAACAAACCAGATTTATTGGTTGAGTTAAAGAATCGGGATACGTATTTTGCGCAGCAAGAGGAGAAAATGAATAGGAGGGAAACAAACATATAAAGAAGGGACAAAAGTTAATGGCTAAGTGGAGAAACTTGGAGGAATATTTTACGCAGCGTGGTGGTTGTTGCAGATGACTTGAGAGACTCTATGTTCTGTTATCCTACTACGGAAGCTGCAGAGAAGATAAATAATGAGACATGCAGCTCGAGCGAACCTGCAGTGATGGATGGTGAAACTAAGAAAGCGGATGGGAAGGGTGAGGATGGGAAACCGGTTGCTGGCATTGACTATGAGCACTCACCGAACCTGTCTACAATCCAGGTGCCCAGTGCGAGGCAAACTCACAGCACACGGGATCTCATCATTAAGGATATTGATGCTGCAATAAAAAAATCTATGTGCGTCTTGATGGCGGTCACCGTGAGGAATATTTTACGCAACGATATCTACAATCCTGGAGGAATATTTTACGCAACGATAAAATAAATAAATAAATTAAATAAGAGGGAGGTGGAGCAAGTGAAGGAGGAACAAGAGTTATGGGCTGAGAAGAAACCTAGAGGAATATTTTACGCAGCGATAGAATAAATTAAATAAGAGGGAGGTGGAACAAGTGAAAAAGGAACAAGAGCTTATTGGCTGAGAAAAGTTATTTTTCTCAGCCAATAACTCTTGTTCCTCCTTCACTTGCTCCACCACCCTCTTATTTAATTTATTCTATCTCAACCAATAACTCTTGTTCCTCCTTCACTTGCTCCACCTCCCTCTTATTTAATCTTAGTCTATCGCTGCGTAAAATATTCCTCCAAGATTTTCCAGTTTGCACGAAATCAGTTTCTCTGACAGAACCAATTGCTAATATCTGTCACGACAATATCAATTTTTTTATTGCAGCATCAATACCCTTAATGGTGAGATCCCGTGTGCTCTGACTTTGCCTAGCACTGGGCACCTCGATTGTAGACAGGTTCGGTGAGTGCTCATGTTCAATTACAGCAACTGGTTTCCCATCCTCACCCTTCCCATCCGCCTTCTTAGTTTCACCATCCATCACTGTAGGTTCGCTCGAGCTGCATGTCTCATTATTTATCTTCTCTGCAGCTTCCGTAGGATAACAGAACATAGACTCTCAAGTCATTTGCAGCAACCACCACGCTGCGTAAAATATTCCTCCAGTTTTCAATCGGTATTCTGTTTAATTTGATTTCCGATTAATTGGTACTCTGGTTAATCCGATATTCTGTTTTAATTCGGGTTTCTGATTCTAATTTGTTAGTAGGTTTAAATCAGTATTCTGTTAAATTCGGCATTCTGATTTCAATTCAGTATTCCGTTTTCAATTCGGCATTCTGTTTTAATCCGTATTTCGTTTTTCTAAATCGGTATTCCCATTTTATTTCAGTATTGGAAATTAGGGTTACAATCAATTTCGTCTTTTTGTTGAAATTGGAAAATTTGAAGGTTTTGGAACCGTAAAACCGAAAATTCCGCAGAATCGCGAAAAATTAAGGTTGGGATCCAAAATTTTCGCGAATTTGTTTTTCTTTCCCTATTTTGAGAAATTCCGAATACGGACTTAGGCCTTTAAAAATCGGATTTTGTAGTCAAAATTTTACATTTTTCAAAAATTCGAGTGTTTTTCTTCCAAATTATCCAAAAATTTTGAGGGCAAAACAGTTCACAACCGTTCCCTCATAATTGCAACTTCCGGGTAGTTTACTAATCAACGGTAAACTCCCGAACCATAGATGATCTCAACGGATACCTAATCTTTTCACAATTTAAAATTCGTTAATTATCATTATTGCATTATTGTTTTATTGATTATTATTGAAAGAATATTAATTATTATAAATATTTGATTAAATTTTATTGATTATTAATATTTAATTAAAATTTATTGATTATTAATTGATTATTATTTCTTATTATGAATTTTGTTTAAGTTGTGTTTGGGAAGTTTATCTTTTTCCTGTTTTGATTAGGTGTCTAATCCATATTGGGACAGGGTCTGTATGCGAATTGCTTGATTGTTCTACCCCTGTTCCCACTCTCCCTACCCTCCCCGAAATCTGTGACCACCGGGACTTCTCAAGTACCACATCAGCTTGTACTGATGTCGACAGAACAGGACACCTGGGCACTGCATCGTGGCTTGCAGTTCGTAGTCGTTTTGTGGTACCTCCACGAACTAAGTATCAGCAACAGCGATTCAGCAGGCGGACAACTCCAGCGGCATCGAGTACAGCAATGACAGTACCGGTTACCACCGAGGCTCTTCCCGCATGTCCGGTCCAAGGGGCCCTTGAACCGTTGGCTGATTACCTTCGACGGCTACAGGTATTTACGGATGCCGTAGCTACCGCTAAGGCACAACAGGAGGCAGCAGAGGCAGAACGTCAGCGGCTGGCCAATGAGGCGGCAGCCCAAGCTCAACAGACTGCTGAGGCTGACGCAGCGGCACGAGACAAACGGAATGCCGCCAGCACGGAGTCCTTGATTCAACATGAGAATCAGTGGACAACGTGACTCAATGGCATGATCTTTGAGCCTACGGACGCGCAAGCGAATCCGACACCGGTGGAGGCAGAAAGGACTCACCTGGCTAACTTGATGTTGAGCATGATGACGGGAGTAATGTGGAATAACACGCCGCACTTCAACATCAGCAAGTTCGACGACTACAACAAGACAGACGCCTTGACATGGTGGCAAGGTTTCCTCACGGAAGCATCATACCGCACTATCCCAGCTGACAACATGATGAAGGCGCTCTACCTGCAACTGATTGAAGGAGTGCAGACATGGATGAACCATCTGGCGGCCACCAAGAAATGCACCATCGCCGAACTCCACACGCACATCACGTGGAAGGAGTTCGAGCAACTATGGTTCACTCGATTCATGGTCCGCAACGTCGTGAAGGCGGCCATGAACGAGGTGTACATCTTGCAAGGAAGCATGCCAACTCGAGACTGGACCATCAAGTGGTAGAAGTTCGTGACCACGCCAGGCTTCCATTTGAGTTTTCCTAACCAATGATCCGAGTTCTTCTCGTGATCGTGCGCACGACTGCGCTCGGCACTCGGCAACGAGTACGACTATTCCTCATTCCAAGCTATTTTGGACTGCGAACCTTGGTCATCCAATCGGATGACAAGGCCGCTAACGAACAGCAGTCCCAACCGCACTATGTGGCTAAACAGGGCTATCAACGACCGACACATAACAATGTCGTGATTCCTGAAGCAGCATCCTCGAGTGATGGAGGAACTGTTGCAGCGCTCCTGCCGAAGCATCCTGAGAGAGTTTGGAAGAACAAGGCGACGCAAGCGACGACATCGACGAGAACTGAGCAGCAACCATGGACGGCGTTCAACATAACCAAGGAAGTATTTGATCTTCGTCAACGATACGGATATTGCCTTTGGTGCAATGGTGTCACTCATTTGACCGCACAATGCCCCGAAAAGGGCAAGACACGTGTACCCCGTCCAGCGAACTCGGGAAACTGAGTTGCGCAAGGAGAGAGGCGACGTCTCTCCTCACTCCGCCGGAACCGGTTGCCTTGCTAGCAACCGATATCACTACCGGGGAGCATGCGTTAGTCGCCGATTTCTCGTGCTACGTACCGAGGATTATGCCGCCCAGCTGGTACCACCATTAGACCAGCCTAGCCACATGCACTTGGATAGCGTATGCGCCTCCTGTACACCGTACGCAAGTGATCCGGTCAACTCGCCACTGATTTATGAGGACTCGACAGCGTGGTCAAGACTTGAGGAGCTTGACCCGCTCACGAGAGAGGACTTCGCTTGGATGCCTCTACCCTCAACCGGAACCTTGCCAAGGCGGCCGCATTGCAATGCCTTGATGGCAAATCTACACTCCTATTTGCACACTACAGTACCAGCTCCGTTGACGGATGACGGGGTAGCGGTTGTTGATCTCCGCTCCTATCTTGCGAAAACCGACGCTCCTTTGCTCTACATCCGCATTCAAATCGGAAAGGCAACGTGTAGTGCCTTGATTGATTGCGGGGCGTCTCGCAACTTTATGAGCCAAGCCTTTATGGCCCGCGC